GATGCCCCCATGGGCTCCTTTTAGTGGTTTTGGTGGGATGGTGCCATCGCCGGGGGTCGCAGGCTCCTCGTGACACCGCTCCTGTCCCCGCAGGATCCCAACTGGTACAAGGCGAAGAACAAGGTGGGCCGGGAGGGCATCATCCCCGCTAACTACGTGCAGAAGCGGGAAGGAGTAAAAGCCGGGATCAAGCTCAGCCTCATGCCGTGAGTATCCCCCGGGGCGGACGCTGCCGAAGGGAATTTCGGGGTGGTGCGGGGGGTGAACTGGCTGGGTCTGGAGCGGCCCCGCTGTCTCAGGCCAACGACCCGGGTGACTCCGCGTCCCAAGAGGAGCAGCATCCCTCGCAGCGCTCGGTGGGGTCGGAAGGCGGGACAGGGACTTGGGCTTTCCCGGCGGCATCCATTTGGGACCCGGTGCTGCCGGGGAAAGCTCTGAGCATCTTTGGGGCTGCCCGCAGAGCCGGGAAGGTGATGGATGGTGGGATTGCATTTCCAACTGGGTCTTGTGGTTGGGGAACAGGGTCTGTCCAAGATAGCAGATAGGAAGGCAGATGGATGGCGGTGATGTCCCCGCTGCGTCCCACAGCCACCAGTGATCCCCAGTTTGGAGGAGCCGGGGCTGCCGTGGGGAGGAAGTCCCTGCGGGTGCGCGGAGGGGCCGAGTCCCGGGTTGGGGACCGGAGGAGGGGAGCGGGATGCGGTGGAAGGAGCAAGGAGGAGCACGGGCAAGCTGGCCCCGTGCAGGCAGGGGTTGAGGCTGCTCCGCGTCCCCGTCGCCCCCGCCCACAGCCCCCTCGCCCCACGGGGGTCCGACCCTGGGGCCGGCGCATCCCCGCTCCTTGACCTGCCCTGCGGTGTGCCGTCGCAGGTGGTTCCACGGGAAGATCACGCGGGAACAGGCGGAGCGGTTGCTGTACCCACCCGAGACGGGGCTTTTCCTGGTGCGGGAGAGCACCAACTACCCCGGGGACTACACCCTGTGCGTCAGCTGCGAGGGGAAGGTGGAGCACTACCGCATCATTTACTCCTCCAGCAAGCTGAGCATCGACGAGGAGGTCTACTTCGAAAACCTCATGCAGCTGGTGGAGGTGAGGTCTCGGGCTCAACTGCCCAAGGGAGCTGCCACCGCTCCCGTCCGACCTGGGGACTGTAGGTTTGAGGTTGGGAGGAGGGGACGGAGGGGTCAGAGCTTGTGGGGCGGCGGGTCCGACGGGGGGGTGGCTGGATGGGAAGGGGATGGAGGTCTCAGTCTCACCTGCCAAAGGGAGCTGTCACCGCTCCTGTCCCCCTCAACCAACGTGGGGACAGTAGGTTTGAGGTTGGGAGGAGGGGACAGAGGGGTCAGAGCTTGTGGGGCTGCAGGTCCGGAGCCCAAGAGGTGGTGGGACCTTCTCTGCGTGACCCCATGGGTTGGGGATGATGGGGACAGGGTACGTGGGGGAGGAGAGGGGCATGATGACGGGGGGTGGCTGGATGGGCAGGGGATGGAGGGACCAGGAGGGGGGACAGGGACCCCCCCCAGCCCTCCCCAAGCCCCCACCGGTGCCATCCGTGTCCTTGTGCT